ACTACCACTTGCCGCCATCCGGCATCAAGCCGGGTACCGCCCCCCTGCGCACGCGCGCCGCCTCCAGCCCCAACTGACGCTTAAAAGCAGGCGCCCTCGGCGGCCGAGCAGGGGGGCGCACGCGCGGTCCTGGAAACGCCTTTTCGTCCCGCCCCTATCCCCGCCCCGCCCCGCCCCAAGCCCCGCCCTCACGCGCTCCCTGTAGCGGACTCTTTGGCTCCTGTATTAGCCCTGAAATGACTTACCATGTGTCAGAAAGAAACGGCGGGAAGGGATAAGGTGTAAGGAGCATTCTCAAACAGTCTCTGCCTACAGCATTGTCTGTTTCCATCTGAAACACAATTTTCTCCGTTTTGCTTAGCTTCACTGGCCATCCCCTTCTCACTGAACTGAGGTCAACAAAGTCATCACCGCCAATGTCCTATTTTCCATCCTGTTACAGCAAACTTTTGGAATAATAACATTAGTAGTGGTAATAATTGTTAATATTGTTACCCACAAACTGAAAGTCTGGGAGGATACAAATCCAAGCCATTCCTAATAGTTTCCTAAGGTCTTGGTAAGGAGCTAACCTAACGGAACTCTGTGCAGATGGCTCAGTTTCCTGTGTTTTTCTTTTTGTTATTTTGTGGGAGGAGAGGTTGGGCCACAGCCAGCTGTGCTGAGGGGTTATTCCTGGCTCTGCACTTAAGAATCACTTCTGGCGGGCTCAGGGAACCATATGAGATGCCGGCTATCGAACCCAGGTCAGCCGTGTGCAAGATAAGCATTCTACCTACAGTACTTTCTCTCCGTTCTCTCTTATCATTATTTTAAAACCACAATCATATATTGCCTTTTTTCACGCTTAATAATCTCCAGCTCCTCGAAAACAATTTATCTAAGAAAAAGATTTGCGATAAATCAGGAAATCTTCTTTTCTTAAGTATCTTAGGATTTAGTTTCTATCCAAATAAGTGTCTCCTGGTTAACAATGCTGTCATGGTTCAGAACATTTTAAGAGTTGCTCTTACAGAATTCTTCAGAATCAGTTAATGAGCCATATTAAGTGCTAAAATCTTAACTCTATGCTACTAATTTTGTAAAACCACATATCTCAGGAAATATGTAGAGAACTGGCAGAGAAAGTAAGTGAAATGGGAATTATTTAATTTTTCACTAGGGAAATGGTAATTATTAATTAAAATAGTCATAACATTCCTATAACAGCACTTTTAGACTTCAAAATGTTTTTATGAACTCCTCTGAACTCATCAACCCCACTCAGCTAATCAGAGACAAACTTAAAATAATGGGATTATCTTGAAACAGTTTATGAGAAATTGTGACAGGAAAGGTCATAAATTATTTTTATTCATTCTTATAACAGTATAACAAACTTACATTAAGCATAATGAAGTTATCCAAATCCACAAAACGGAGGATTTGGAGTCTCCTTTCCTGATGTAAGATAGATAAACCATAACCATTTGGGGGTAACTTATAGGCACTGACCTAAGCATTTTAAACATGTGATCTCATTTAATGCTTACAATAACTCTGAGGTAGGCACCATCACAATGCCATTTTTCAAAGGAGGAAACCAAACCCCAGAGGGCTTACTCAAATTACAACTGCTAAGTGGCAAAGTCAAGACTCCTCTTGCCCTTCTATTTAAGTGAAAAGACTAAGTGTCTTTGGATTATTTCTCTGGGCACTATTTCTGTACTCATATCCCACTCAATACTTATTCAATTAGTTTTATGAATAATGGAGATTTAAATAACCTGACCTTCACAGATATCTCATAAAATAGATAAAACATTTCTATTTCACAGTTAGTTGATGAAATGCCTGGAAAGTTTACAAAAGGTGGAACATAAAACTAAGTCAAGTCTGTGTGAATGCAGAAGGCAGTGTTAAACAGAGAACAAGAGTCAAAACCAAACTCTGAATAGTATAGAAATATGGAGGTTCCCATCAGACAAGTAGATTTTATCTTCTGTTCATTTTATTTGTCAAGAGCTATGTAATAGTCCTGGCCAAAATGAGGTTAATTTGATATACTTGAAACTAATAAGTTCTCATCATGCCTAAACATTACAGATACCTCATTTTTAAAATTAAGTACAGTAAGGACAAAGCAAAATGACAAGGTAAGAGAAAATAAGAGACTCTAGAAAAAAACACAGTAGTATGAGAAAAAGGAAATACATGAAATAGCAATATCTTTCCAATTATTATCCTATTATTATTATTATCCTCTATTTTATTTATTTGTGTTTTTGCCCTTTTTTGAGTCACACCCGCAATGCTCAGGGGTTAATCCTTGCTCTGCACTAAGGAATTACTCCTGGCAGTGCACAGGTGGACCATACGGGATGCCAGTGAGCAATCCTGGGTTGGCTGCATGCAAGGCTAACACCCTACCCACTGTGTTATCACTCCTGCTCAGGAATTCTCTTTAAAGTGTAGCTGCATGTCAGGACACCACATCTCTAAAGACAGAGAGAAGATTCAAAGTACAGACAGACACGTGTTAGAATGCCGAAAAGAACAAGTACTACAAAAACAAATAAGTCTATACTACTATAGCAAGCATAACATTCAGAAAAATTATTTTTGAACATCAGAAATTAATGGCATGTTGTATTTCAATTATATCTCAAACAACATATTATTTCTTCTAAGTTGAACCCCTAAACTATTACACCAACCTATAAATGCAGCTCTTCCATTTCCAGAATAATACGCCATGGTCTCAAATTACTGATTCTACTGGATGTTCATGACACATATATGCTTTTGTACAGCCCCCACATGTCTGGGCTGCTAAGCTTTATATTAACCTTCCACAAATATGTCATAATCAGCTCTTTTCCACATGTTGTCATGACAACTGTTAAGGCACATGTTAACTCTTACATATCTTACATACAAGAGCAACTGAAACACAAGTCAAACTCACGCCCACACATCCCAAACACCTCAAAGTTCCTCTCCAAAAGATTTACATTAAAATAAAGGAAATTAAGTATGTAAGAATGATATGACTAAAAGCTGCTAATGATGGCCAAGTCAGAATTCCTTTTCTTACACATGCTTGAGTTTCTAGTAAATGTTCAACTTCTAAAAAACATCTACTAGATTTCTTGTTCCTGGGAGTTAGAGACTGTATAAGCAGTCAACAAATGATTGTTTAAAAACTATTAAGAACAACAGAACATGGTATAATTAGTGTTAGCAGTTGAAGGAGAGACTTGCTGAGACCTTAAGGTAGAAATTTCTGACGAAAAGCAGAGCGTTCCTTCTAATGCAGAAGAGGGAGACTATACAGGCAATTTAAGGACACTGCGGGGGGTTTGTAAAAGGAGCTTACCTTGCACTGGGCTGACGGTGGTAACATCCTGAGCCCGCAAGCACACGCATTGCTAGAGCCACCCCCAGTGCCTTTAGAAGTGATCCTTAAGCACAGAGCCAGAGAAAGCCCTGAGCATCTCAGGGTGTGTTCCTGTCCCCGCAAAATATTTCTATTTCGCTAAAATTTGAAATCAACCTCACAGTTTCCTATCCTAGGCTCAAAAATAAATACTTTTAAGTAACATCATATGATTAACACAATAGGTGGCCTCCTCTCCCGTAGAGCATTCAAGTAGAGGTGCGGATTCAATTATTTACCATTTCTAAATGTTTTAGAAGAATGGCTAGTAGGTGCTATGGTAAATAAAATAGTTCCAGATCTGAAACATGCCCGATGGTGATTGTGATACATCTTAGAAAGAAAATAACTATTTGAGTTCTGCTACTTGTTCTTCGGAGCTTTTCCTAACAATTTTGGGGTTAACCGTGCTTGTTAAATAGATGAGTGTTTCTTAAGGACTCATGAGATTCCCTATTTGCCCTAGTACTTTATATTCGCTTCCCAGCAACCCACACGAAGTGATCGGAAAAAGAAATCTGTGCTTCCCAACAAAATCTAGGGATTTCAGAAAATGACTAAAATCCCCAAGAGCATACAATTCGTCAAAACCTCTAACGTTCGTTCGAACGACAGAGAGAGAGAGAGAGAGAGAGAGAGAGAGAGAGAGAGAGAGAGAGAGAGAGAGAGAGAGAGAGGAGAGAGGATGCTCTAGTGTCGCCCGATCATTGGTTGGTTTCGAAATCCCGCTCCGGCTGTTCCGGCCAATGGCAGTGCGGAAGACGCCGGGCCCCCTGGAAACGCCCCTCCTCTTTGGGTGAGGTTTGTTGGGCGGGGCTCCTACGCATGCTCGGAACCCACGAGGCCCATTGGCGCGGCAGGCGGGCGCGTGCGCAGTAGCCGCCGGGCTCCAGACACGGAACAACTATTGGTGTGGAGGTTCCAGCTTCTGAGGCGTGGGAGGCTGCTGAGGCGGCAGGTTGTAGATTCGGGTCTTGGCCCCAAGGGGATCTCCCCAGGGCCATTAGGACCCAAGGGAGACAGGAGACCCCGCGGAGGCGGCTGAGGGGCCGAACCCCGCCACCGGTCCTCTCAGTGGGGAGGGGGCGGCGGGGTGGGCAGAAGCGCCGATCGCTGGGCTGAGGTGGCTCGGCGACCCGAGCATGGGGAGGGCTGGACGGGGTTCCCGGGCGCGGGGAGTTGGGTCCACTGTGATCCCGCGGCTCGGAGCTCCTCAAAACTCGCGCCGCAGGGGTCGCCGCGGCGTCTGGATCCCGTCCGGGCTGGACTCTGACAGCTAGCAGGATGGGTCCAGCCCCTGCCTAGTTTCCTCCCCTGCCTTGCACTCGGCCCGCGCTCTCTTTCCCCCGCCACCACCATCCCCCCGCCCCCCGCGCTCCTCTCACTCCCCCCCGCGACCCTGCCGGCCTCTGGTGTCCCCTTTTGTTCCCCCGCCCCGCCGCCCGGCTGTCCCATCTCTCGCCCCTCCTTCTGATCGCTGCCCGCCGCCCTCTAGTCCTCTCACTTGTCCATCCGCTTCCTTTATTCTCTCACCCGCCAACCCCCCCCTCCATCCTCTGCTCCCTCACTATCCTCTCCCTCTCCATCCTCATCCTCCACCTCCCCCCTCCCGCCCCTCTGGCTTCGCCCCGCCCCCGCCTCCGCCCCTTAGCCCCCGCCCCCAGCCGCCAGTCCCCAGCCGCTCAGTCCTGCAGTGAGAGTCTTGGGAGTCCATAGCTAAGCGCCAACGAGCCCGAGCCCTGCTCGCCGTGCCCGCCTGCCAGTCCCGCGCATGGCTCAAGAGAAAATGGACCTGGATTTGGAGTCTGACACCTTGGAGGGAGCCACCATGAAGCGCTCCAGCAGCGCTCCCCTCATCCAGGGGCTCAGGTAAAAAAAAAAAAAACGGGGCGTTGGAAGGGGGGAGTGAGGATGGAGTCCTCGGGTTCAGGGGCTCCTCGACCCGAGGTCAGCAGCCTCCCGGTTCTAAAGTGAGAGTTGGGGCTCTCCAAAGGGAAGGGGGTGTGGTCCGTGTCTGGAGAGCGACTTGGGTCCCAAAGGCGGACTGAAAGTTCAACCCCGAACTCTGGGGAGTGGGGGGGGGAGGTGGGGGAGCGGGAAGGGGGGAAAAACCGTGGAGCTCGCTCCACCTGGGGCTCTGTGGGCCCCATTCTAAAAGGAGCTCCCAGAAGCTGGCTCTTCTAACAGGTTGCTTGCCCTGCCTAATTTACACCACGGAATGTCAGACGGACGCCCCTGGAACCCCGCTTGCAACCTGACACTTGTCTCTCAGAGCTGCTATTTCTAAGCTCCGTGTAGGAACTCAGGCATTAATGGAGGGTTACCGTTGCCGATCACCGTTTAGCTAATAATCTGTCCTGGAAAGGCATGTTGGGGGTCATATGAAGTGATCGGGATTTGTCGTCGTGTTTTCAGATCCTGAACTGTGTTGCAGGGAAAGAAAAGAGAGAGAGAGAGATTAACAGAGAGAGAAAAGAGAGAGAGTGAGCGAGAGAGAGTGAGAGTGAGTGAGAGTGAGAGTATGTATATGTATGTGAGTGAGTAGCTTTAGGTCCGGAAAAAAAAAACGCTGGTTTTGGAAAACAATACAAAGAATCCACCTTTGAATTTTGCTGGTGGGGTTACAGGCGTATTTTTTTTCATGTAAGTCACCAGAGGGTCTATTTTAAGGTAGAATCTGGTGATAGGTTTGCAGACCTCAGGAACCTATTACATTTCACTTTTATAAGTAGACAATTCATCTTAGGTAGAGAGCCAATTTGCAAGACCCTGTAGAAATGGAATTAGTCCAAAGAAGGGGGATGGGCGTAGAATTAGCCAGAAACATTAATCAAACACAGTGAAAGCAAAGAAAAGAGGGGAACCTTGTTTACCACACTGTTTAATATCTGTATTTTGGGGAAAGGGATACATTTAATTCATTTTATTAAATTTTGAAACAAGGGTGAGATGGAGTGACGGCTTTCTTAATGCTGTCTCGTCTTTGGCTCTACATTTTTATGCTCTCGGAATAAACAGGTCTTTTCTGGTTGTCTTTTTTCCCATCTGGTAAGCAAACAATTGCTGTGGACGAGGGCAATCCTGTTGACCTGCGTTTAGACTGTTAGAGAAATTGCATACTGGTCTTCTGAATCACAATTTAAGTAATTACTTGAAAGGTAGCATGATGTGACAGGAAGAGGTGAGGAGACCAGGCCTACTCCAATTTTCTCCCTAACTAGCATTGATCATGCATGAGTCGGGTAGCCTTTCTGAGTCTCTCCTCTCCTTTCAAACTTGGGAGAACTGGATTTGGTCATCCCCGGGGGGCCCTTTGACAGCCCAGTCCAGTTTGATCCTGAAAAGCTTTCCTCCCTGTCTTGGGAGTGACACACTCGCCAGGCACCTCAGGGGCATTAGAAAAAATAAAAAATAAATGCAACTTCTCTGAGGAGGGGTTTAAGACACATGCACACTTTTCTGTGTCTCAAGTAACTCATCTCCTCTGGTGTTCATCAGGTTCAAAAGAGGTTGCGATCCCGTTAGCTTTGGGGAGGGCGTGGCATTGGAGATAAGTGTTGCCAGAGAGGAAGGATTGAGACAGATGGTGGGATGGAAGGTATTTGCAGCAGAAGGAGGCAACTTGAGCACCACCCCAGGTAGGTTTACTTAGTCAAACAGCAGGGTTTGAGGTCAAATAACATGTTTAGAACAATAGTGGGGAAGGACTGGGCTTGTGTTGCAGAAGAGGGGTTCGGCAGCCTGTCTCATGTCATAGAAACAGTGATATCAGGGGTAAACAGATGAAGCCACTCATGTCTCGTGATGGCTGGGATGGGGTCAGTGACGGGCTGGGCAGGCGTCAACCAGACTGTAGCTCTGCCCTCTCTCACCTAGCTGCCCCACCCAAGGACCAAGGAATCAGTGTCTCTGCCAACCTGTAGCCCACAGCACACCACTGGGGGGAGAGCGCTGTGAAGAGGACCATGAGGTGTTTATTCATTGTATGAAATGAGCTGTCGCAGGCTTCATTGTTAACTAGAGAACTGGCATTAACACAGTTGAAGGATCTCTTAAGTGAGAAGGCATTTCTTGTTTTATTTTTATTTTTCAGTGATCTTTCACAGATTTTTCAACCTTGTTCATTCCGGCCTCGGAGGAATAGTGCAACAGTGATGAGCCATTACAGTCTGGTAAGTAGAGAAGTAAGTAAAGTAGTTTAGATCAGGGAAAACACTGTCAAATGGTCTGAAGATGATGTACACATAAAGTGCAGTTGTTTACAAAAGAAAGAGTGTTTAAAAACAAAAACAACCTAGCTTGCTTGCTGCTTCTATGTGCTGTAACCATTTCTAGCTTTGGGGTGCCAAAAAGAGACTCCTGCAGCTTGTTTGCTTGGCTATGGGACTTTGTCTTTTCAAAAATTTCTTTTGTTTTGTCGTTGCTTGCATCACACTTGTGAGGTAAATCAGGTTTAGAGCTGAAAACAGTGGTCTTCATTTGTCCTAGGATGCAAAAAAAAATCATTTATATGGTAATAGAGTATGTCTGACATTATCTGTTTGGACAATGCTATTTCTCCTAAGGAAAGGTTCCTTTAAAACACTTGGATTGATAATATCAGTTGAGTCACCAGTCGTGACCGTTCTATACAGCTAGAGCTGTTGGAGAGTACCTTATTAGTTGGTGGTGGTGGGAGAAATTATGATGAGGTTTTTCTGTAGTAGCACTTCACATGTGGAGCTCATTTATCCTGTAGCTGTAGTGCTCGGGAAGACATCTGAGATGTAAGCAAACAGACCTCTAAATGGCGGAACTGGATTTCCATAGTCTGCGCACAAAGGTTCATCAGTTTATTTATAGGAGAGCCTCTGACCTCTGAATCATCTAAAATGTATGCATAATTATAATAAGCTTCCAACCTAATATTGTGTGAGAAGCAGCAAATCAGAAGAGGTATGTTTGGGTTAAAGGTATACTACTGAGAGCTGCTAGCAAGAGAGGTGAGGTGGGGAAAGGAAAAGCAAGCAGAGGTTTTTAAAAAATTAGTCTGTGGCTCAGTATGAGCCTGTTAATAGACCCTGAGTGTGTCACTGGCATAATCGTTGATGTGCTTAAGCATACCTGCTCATTCACTCTCTTTCCGAAATTATCAAAACACCCACCCTTGGCCTGTGTTTTACATGTTCCAAAGTAATTTCACACATTTAATTCTCATGACAACCTCTATGAAGTAGTCAGGGCAAAGATATTTTTCCCAATTAAAAGATGCAGCAGCTAAGATTCAGCCGATTTATGTGACTTGCTCAGAATCACACAATTAGTAAGTGGCAGAGCTGGGATTAGAAGAGATCTTCTAGTGCCGTTCTGTTTGGTATAATCTGTTTAAGATGAGGTGGGGATCTAACACTTTTACGGAAGACTCCCAGCTGAAGTGGCTAAAAATACTGGAAGGGGGCGAGGGGACATTAGTTTTCTTTAGGTTTGATTCACTTCACTTTTTTCCATGAGGATACCAGAAAATATAACAACATCTTAGGCTATGTATATGAAAATCCTTACTATATGGTATTCAGCCTGTTGCCGTGAGCGATAGTGTGGTGGAGAAGGAAAGTGAATTTGTCTTTCCACAAATTTGTCTTTCTACATCACTTCTCTCTTTTCTAAGCCATGAACTTGTATCACTTGTATCACTTGTCATCCCACTGATTGTCGATTTGCTCAAGTGGGCGCCAGTAATGTCTCCATTCGTCTCTGTCGCATGCTAGTGTAGCCCAGTAGCGTCTGCTCAGTCCAGCAACAAGAAGGGCCTCATGAACATTCTTATCAAATCTGCCTCAGCTCTTTGCTTACTGCTCTCTGACAAACATACTTCACTAAAATACTTTAAGGGGCCATAGTGAGTACTTGTTCTTTTTTTTTCTAGTTTTGTTTGTTTGTTTGTTTTGGAGCCATACCTGGTGGTGCTCAGGCAGTACTCCTGCTCTATTTAGGGAAGCATGCGGTACCTGAGGATTGAACTTAGATCCCCTGCAAACAACAACAACAACAAAAATGCTCAGGGGCTGGAGAGGTAGCACAGCAAGCAGTACACTTGACTTACATGAGGCAGACCCAGATTTGATCCCCGGCCAGGAGTGATCCCTGAGCACAGAACCAGGAGAAATCTCTGAGCACTTCCAGATGTGGTACACGGCCTCCCCCCCCCCCCCAAAAAAAAAACAAAAAAAATGTGCTGAGCCCTTTGAGTTATCTCTCCGGCCTTGACTTCCTATTCCTTAGTTTCTTCTTTATCCCTATCTCTCTCTCCCTTCAAGGTTTCTGGTTATTCAAACTCAGTTTAATCCTCAGAACCCTGTAAGTACTTTGATCGCAGTACTGATTATAGACATTATCTCACATTGTATTAAATCTTAGTACACTTACCTGTGTCTCCTGTTACCCTGTGGAAGGGAACATGTTGGTGAATGGAATGGCACGGTGGGGACTGCAACATGCAGAATTAGAACCTTTGTGGCTTGGCCATTTCAATAGAAGGGCAGTGTGACGGACGACTCAGAATGACCGAAACTTATTTCTTGGTGACCCAGGGGAAAGGTGTGGCCTTTGTCTGAAGTAAGGAAGCGAAGATGAATTGATCATTTGAAAGGAAAAATGATCTGTCTTTTTCAGGGCCGATTTTATTCAAGCCGCCACTGACCTTACGCTCTTTTCCAAAGCAGCTGTCTAAAGGGTTTGCTAAAACTCTGCCAGGCTTTCACTTTAAGTTAAGGATCCTTCTCGATTCACAGAGAAGGCAGACAGAGATGTCTATCTTGTATCAGCCTCAAGTCCTTTTCACTCTACACATGCTGTTTTCTCCTAATGGACTTTTCTGACTCGTCTTTCTCCGTCTGTGGTCTACTCTCGAGCCTGTGTCTTCACTCTCTTCCTTGCTGGCTCTTTCCCTCCCTTTCTCTTCGTCCTTACTCACACGTGTAAATATCGGGAGAACAGGCTGTTTTCTTTTGGGCTCATTCTCTCTCCTTTTCCCACTCCGAGCGAGCGCTCTCAGAACTCAACCTGCCTCTGATCCCATTCTCTCCGGATGTCTTGCTAACTGTTCAGCCTGCTTGTCATTTTCTGACTTCTCCCCCAACTCCATTAAGAAGCCCTTGTCGCAAAAGTCACCAGCACCCACTTGTTTGTCACTGTCAGTGCCTCTTCTCTTCTGCTGTTTGAAACCCCTGCTTTTTACTTCACACCAATGTTCCAGCACCTCCTTGAGTCCTTGGCTTTGTTCTCAGCCTGGATGTGTTTGCCTAGTGTCTGATACCTCACACGGCATTGCGTCTTTTAGTATCGACTCTGCCGCTCTGCCTGAAACAGATAAGTGGTACATCATGTCAACGCAGCATCTACAATTCTGACTTTCTCTCCAAGCAGCTTTTGTCAATCCTTCCTTTGGCTTTCCCGATTATTTCACGGCCTTTGGGCTTTCTTTTGTTCCTCTGGGGCACAACCCTGCTCTCTTCCACACTATCCTGTTACAGACTTTCCTGCCTTGTTTTCTGGCCTTGTAGCGTAGTGTTTTTCAAATGACCTTATTAAGAAGTTCACCAGTAAGCCTGTATTACTTACATAATGGAAGAAAAGACTTTCATAAAGGATTTTACTGGTGATGCTTTTCTCTTTCCTAAAGCCTGGGTGAGGAAAAAGTGAAACAAAGGGGTTAGTAGTGAAGGGATAGCTTTTGAGGTAAAATCAATATTTTATTGGCTAACTTTCAACAGATTTTATTTGCATTTGCTTTTGCCTGAAAAAAATTAGAACAGTTTATCACCATACTATGTACTAAGTTAGCCTTTTGAAAAGTTTTAATGGGCTAGTATCTCTTATAAATGGAAAAATTTAAATTTGGTTTCATACTATTAAGATTCATTTGTATTTCCTTGGGAAATAAATAATAGCCATTTACATTATGACTATTCAGAACCTTGTAAGATCTGTTGATAGGAATTTTGCCTTACATTCTGTGATCAGATTGTGATTATTTTGCAAGAACATAATTTGGCCTCCAAATTATTTCGGCTTTGTGTGGTTTTTAAGCAAAAGGTGCTTTAAGGAAAAGCAGGTGTTAATTTTAAAAACCCACGTTTTCTTCCACATTTATGTTGCTAAACTAGTGAGATTTGTGGTGATGGTATTAGTGACCAAATTTTAGAATTTATATCATGCAAGCAAAATCTGCTTATCGAAGTCTCCAAGTGTTTTTGATCAACATGGATCATGGATAAAATATTGAACTGGACTAATTAGCCTGTCTTCCTCTCTTGGTACATTGATGGTAAAAACGAATAAAGTCGGTATTTTTCTTTTCCTTCTCATATAGTTCCTTATTTTAGATAAGTGGGGTAATGGATGTTTCCAAGGCCTGGAGTCAATTTTTTTACATAAATGTACACAGCTCTGCATTCATTTGGGAAAAGTGTCAAAGTCAGTGCCTGTCTAGCGACAGATGGTGCTTTGAGGTTGGACACCTGGTGTACTTTCCTAAAGACTGAATGTACTGCCTCTAGTGCATTAATGTTCAGTGATTTAGAGATAAATTTCTAAGAAGAATATGAAAAAAATAATCTAGGAAGAAATTGTACACCACTACTGGCAGCAGACTGCTGCTTTGTATGTCAGAAAATAGTAAATGTTTACTTTTTCTTTCCAGTTGCTGTCATCCACACCTAAACGTATTCCTAATAGCAGACTGCATCAAATCAAATGGGTAAATTTTACTTACTAGCTCAGATCTACACTCTTTTTGTTTGTTTTGGAACCACACCTGGTGTTACTCAAGGCTTACTCCTTGCTCTGTGCTCAGGGATCACTCCTGGCAGGACTTGGGGGGCCATGTGTGGTGCTGGGGATTGAGCCCAGGTCAGCTATGTACAAGGCAAGTGCCTTTACCCGCTGTACTATCTCTCCGGCCCCAAGATCTACATTTTTTAAAAATTTTCATTTTATATTCCTTTGGAAGATTGAGACATTAAAAATGAGTTGATGCGTGTGGTGTTGGAACGATGTATGCATGAAAGGTATAATTAGCAGTATTTTAAATCACAGTGCCTCAGTAAAAATGGCAAAGTAAATAGATAAATAAAAAGTATGAGTCCAGCTGCAACTCTGGTTTTGTTGTAGACAGAATAAAATCCTTCTGACTGTGCTGAGAAAATACAGATGTGGCATGAGCCATTCTCTTAGAATGACTGTGATTGTGTCAGCTAAGGTAGAGAAGGCTTGATGGAAACAGAACTGGGTGGATCAATATTAATGTGTTCAGTATATGTCTGTCTTTGCAGGAGGAAGGTATGAATATGATGAGAGAGACTGCACATGAAAGGTTAGTGCTTTCCAACAACCAGGAAAGAGCCAGATGTAGGTTTGGTTTCTGAGCACTAAAGACTTTTTCCCCTTTTTTTGTGTTTCAGGGAAGTGCAAGCAGCAATGCAAATGAGCCATTCGTGGGATGAGAGTTTGAGCCTGGTAAAGTTTTTAAAGTTTGCTTATTTTTCTTGTCTAGAAAGAATGAAACCATTGCTCGTTGGCTTTGTGCTCTGTATTCTCTTTTTCTCCTCTCTTTCCAAAGTTGTGCTCATTTCTTGGATCTCTTCTTTGCCACCAAATTATGAGATTGTGACTTTTGGGAGTCTACCCTTCTCCACTAAGATATAATCATGTTTGAGTAGTCAAGAACAGCTGTGGTAAGCTGAGTTGTGACTTATGAGGGAATAACACTTTATGCTTGCAGAGCGATAGTGACTTTGAGAAGTCGGAGAAATTATACTCTCCTAAACGGATTGACTTTACTCCAGTGTCTCCTGCTCCATCACCCACCAGAGGATTTGGAAAGGTAAGCGCGTGGACAAGATAGGAACACCCTTCCACACGCAAAGCAGACACTTCCTCTTTAACAGCCCACTCCCAGTCACTAGACTTTTGTGTTTTGCATGTTGTGGGGATCGAATCCAGGACCTCACACAGGCAGCACATGCATTCTACCATGGACTGGGTCACAACCCAACCTACAAATCATCTCGCTTTTTTGGTGGGAAGCACTCAGCGGTACTCGAGGTGTGTGTGTGTGTGTGTGTGTGTGTGTGTCTGTGTGTGTGTGTGTGTCTGTGTGTGTGTATGTGTGTGGTACTCCCAGTGAAACTTGGCCCTGAAGTGCAGGTTTGAGTGTTGGGTGCTTGGTCTCAGAGATGCAGTACTGCTGGGACCTGGAAGTGCTGGAGGCGATCAGGACCACCCCGGTGGTGCTCAGGGACCACCAGGGCTTTGACACCTGGCAATGCTTGGAGGACCACATGGTGCTAGAGAGTGAACTCTGGGCTTTGCTCCAAGGCATGTGCTCCACCCCTTTGAGCTATCTCCTTGGCCACTAAATCACCTCACTTTTAAAGAATCCAGCGTCTGGAAAGGAAAATTAATGAGAAATTGTGAGAACGATTTGGAAAAACAATATGTGACATAGATAGCCAAGCATTTTGTTGTTTTGGGGTTTTTTGTGGGGTTGGGGAGGTGGGCCACGCCCAGCAATGCTCAGGGCTTACTCCTGGCTCTGTGTTCCTGTCAGTGCTTCAGAGACCACATGCGGCACCAGGGATAGAATCTGGGACTGTTGCTTGCAACGCAAGCGCCTTATTTACCCCTATACTGTCTCTCCACCAGACAGCCAACCAATTTTAAGGATGTTCTTTCTGTCACTTTGAGAAAAAACTATCAAGAAATGGGAGCACTGAAACTATTTTTTCTCTTTTTTTTAGTGAAGCAAGATAGTTTTATTGAAACTTAGTTAGAAAGATATGAGGGGAGGAGAGAAGTATGTGTTTAAGAGAGAACACAAGGTTCTCCAGTGTGGAAATAGGCAAGGAAAAAATGTAAAGATAAGCAAGCAAGACATGTGTTGGATGGAGAACACGGGATTGAAGAGCAAGCCTCTAGAACTATTTTAAATACTGCATTTCTTTAGCAGTGCTATTCACCATCCTTACAAATGTTTGTGGGCAGCAGTGGACTACCATCGAGTTCCTTTCCTAGTCCAAGACGCTTTTCCAGGTAAGTAGACCTGCTCTTTGAAATGGGCTTGAAATCTTCCTCATTACATTGGTCTTTGTAATGACACACACACACACACCACCAACCCCTTCATTTCATCCCCACCACATTCCCAGCATTTTACCAGGGAAATTTTCAAATGGCAAAACTGGAACATTTTTTCAATGAACAGCCTATACTGAGCACTTACGTTCATTTGATCATTACCTTTTGTCAGAATAATTTCTTAGAGACTTGGTGCCATTTTAGATTCAGAAGGGACTGAATCTAAATATATCCATGATAATCTACCCTTTGATAGTGAAGAGGGTAAACCTTTTTAAGAATGTACACCAGTCAACATCTCAAAATTACTTTTTTGAGGTCCTACCACTAGTGGTACTTGGTTGGATGTTTCCTTCTCTGTGCTCAGTAGTGGTTCCTGGAGGGGTTTAGGGGACCATGTGGTACCAGAAATCAAACTGAGGTCAGTCGCATGGCAAGGCAAGTGCCCTAACCCTTGTATTTTCTCTCTAACCTCAAAATAAAATTTTAGTAAGATCGATCTTATATTTCAAAAGCTGTTCTAGAGGCTGGAAAGATAGTACAATGGACGGGGCACTTGCCTTGAATAGGGCACCCGACCCAGGCACCTGAACTATGCCAGGAGTGATCTCTGAGCACAGAGCCAGGTGTTCAGCCCTGAGCACCACCAGATATAGCCCCCAAACCAAAATAAATTAATATTATACAGCTGTTCTAGGCATTTTTTCTTGTAGTGGTTTTAAGCTAGCTAAAATGCCTTGCTTTTCCAGATTGTGCCAGGTCAGATCAGGTTATTGGAATTTCAGTTTTTTAATCTTTAACACAGTATTTTCCATTTTACTCATTGTGTGAATTTGATGGAACTACTGGTGGACTGGGATGTTCTGTGCATTTCAGAAGTACTTACTCTTCTCTGGTTGATTTTCTTTTAAAACAGGAGCCACAGTCCAGTCAAATGCATCAGACCCAGTGTTCTTGCTCCGATTAAAAGAAAGGGTATGCACCACCACTTTTGTTCTCTCTCTCTCCTTTTGGGTGTTGTGGTTTGCAAAGAGGCATTGAGTGGCAATCATGTTCAGTCTATAGTCTACTTTCAGCATGCATCTCCCATCCTGGGAGGATCCTCCCAAAACCCTTTATTTGATGCTCCCTTCTCTATCTGAGCTGCCTTTTCCCCTAGGGTGTGTAGCTGGCCTCCAAGCCATGGAGTGAACCTCCTGGTACTTATCTCGGCTATTCTTGGGTGTTAGTCTCCTATTTTGTTACTTTATGTTCCCCAGATGAATGCAATCTTTCTTTGTCTGTCCCTCTCTTTCTGACTCATTTCGCTTAGCATGATACTTTCTATGTAGTACCACTTGTATGGGTACTCGATCATTGTATAACTGAAACCCAAGAACAAAAATTTGTAAGTCTACAGCTGTACCTCATGGTGTTTCACTAATAAAAATTTTTTTAAAAGGTCACAAAAAAGGGAAAGGTATGCATCCTACTTCTGCTCTTAGAACCAGGTTGAACTTGAATTACAAATTAGAATTTCTCTCTGAAATTAGTTCAAGGCATGGATCCTTATTTCTAAATATGTGAAATCTATCCCTCCTTGTATTTACTAATGCTGAATTTAGTGAGTTATTTGATACTGTCTATATTTTTGAACTTTTTAATTGAATCTTATTTATATATTCATACTATCAATATATATTCCTAAAAGTTTGCCTCTTGGTGATCTGAATATAAAGAGATGCAAGTTGATGCATTAATATGTGCTTATATCATAGCAACTAGGTCTATGAGCTTGCTGTGTGTGCCAATGTAAGCCTTCACTAAATTACACCTTTGCAAAGAGAAAATTTCCTTATACTCAAGTCTCTGTAGGGTTTTGATATAATGGGGGTGCTCTTTTAATTACCTTATTATGAGCCACAAAAGCACTATACTAAAATGATATTCATTGGCAGTGTTTAGATGCTTATGAAGGACTCCTGATGGAATCTATTAAGAGAAAGAAAGGCAAAGAAATGAATCACAAGTTTAATCATTATTCCTGGGGATATGACCGTATGATTACAGGTGTTTGATGGCATTTTATTTTCTGTCTTCTGGGGACCCTACCAGCAGTGCTGGAGGGCTGTTCCCAGCATGGTGCCCAGGTGGACCCAGGCTCCTGCATGCAAGGCATGCCCGCAGCACTTTGAGCCTTTTCCCAGGCCATTGCCTGTTAGTTGTTTGGGGGAAGATCCCACCAGCAGTTCTCAACCAGCCATGCAGCAGTTCAGTCCCAGGGCCTGAGAATGCAATTCTGCTTGGGCTCTGTGCTTCTGTGGCTACCCAGACCATCTTGGCAGTGAGGGGACCTCCTAGGGGGGAATGTGGTGCTCCGAATCAAACCCAGCAGACACACCTGAAGCATGCATTCTAACCACTGTACTATCTCCCAGTCCTGTCTGTTCAAGCAAGAATTTTAAGGTACTCCAATCTAGAGTTCCCTGCATCTCAGGTCTGGGTGCAGTTTCTTTTTGTCTGTCTTTCTTTCTTTCTTTCTTTCTTTCTTTCTTTCTTTCTTTCTTTTCTTTTCTCTTTTTTTTTTTTTGCTTTATAGAACTCGTTAGTATCCTTCCCCAATAAAACTATTTTACTTTGGGGGCTGGAGAGATAGTACAGTAGGCAAAGTTTTTGCATTGCATGCAGCCAGCCCAGGTTTAATCCTATGCACCTCATGTGGTCCCCTAAGTACCACCAGGCGTGATCCCTGAGTTTCAAGCCAGGGGTAAGCCCCGAGCACACCAGATGTGGGACAAAAATAAACAAAACAACCAAAACTATTTTACTTCACACACAAAAGAGAGCTTTAATAATAATTTTTAACTTAATAAGTGGGTTTTGCCTTTTAATAAGCAAGTGGTTTCTTTGTGCAGCTCAGCTTCAGGGCCAGTGGACAATCAACTCTCCTAATGGTTGTCAGCTAAGCAAATGCCTGCAACTCCAGTGAAAAGATTGAATAGGAGCTATATTTCATACAACTCTTTTTTTTGCTTTTTGGGTCACACCCGACAATGCTCAGGGGTTACTCCTGACTCTACGCTCAGGAATTACTCCTGGAGGTGCTTGGGGGACCATATGGGATGCTGGGAATCGAACCCAGGTAGGCCGCGTGCAAGGCAAACGCCCTACCCGCTGTGCGATTGCTCCAGCCCCTCATCTTATTTTTTGGGGGTGCTGGAGATCAAACAGGTCTCTGGCATGTGAGGCTTGGGCTTTGCCACTGAGTCACATCCCTGGTCCCCCTATTTCATACACCTTAAAGATTGCTCAGGAAAGTACATCCTGATCGGACCACAATATTTGTACCAGTGAATTAATTTTCTTTTTTTTCAAACCAATAGTATTTATCCTTAAGGAGGCAAGTAATTATTTGCAATCCCAGGTTACATGAAAATAATACTTGGAAATGAAAGTTTTTGTTATCATTTTTCAATTTATTGTAAGGAGCTACCATAGTTGTTTTGTTTCAAGGCAATTCCAAAATACGCCAGTAGATGGAGGGATTCTTTGCTAAAAGGAGGGAGAGACTTTTTTGGCTAATCAAGGTGGTGTTGAAAGCGTGGCAGCAGTTTTAATTTTTTTCTGTTACCTTTATTTTTTACTTTGAAATTTATTCTTTTAATTTTTTGATTGGATTCATATTGTTTTACAAGACTATATCACATAGCAGTACAAATTCATATGTTATTCATCCGTATGTCCTCCCACCACCAAAGTACCACTGTCCCACCACCAGAACTGATAGCAGCTTTTACAAGCTGAGTAAGAAAGCAAGGAAAAGGCAAATAAAAAATGTTTCATGAATTTCAGTCGATCTCAGAATAGCTCCAGAAGACAGATGATTCACTTGGTAATACGGCAGCAAATGATTGTTCCATTTGTTGTTGCTTGATCTTTTTCCGTTATAAAAATCTTTAAGGGGGACAACAGAGTGATAGCACAGTGGGTGGGTAAGGCACTTTCTTTGCACGTGGCCAACCCTTCACTTCCCCACGCCACATATTGTTCCCCAGGCTCGCCTGGAGTGATCCCTGAGCACAGAGCCAAGAGTAAGCTTTGAGTACAGCCAGATATGGCAAAAAACTCTTAAACGGTTTTGGGAACATGGATGTAGCCTAGTGGTCAAGCATAATCTTTGCTGGTATGAAGGCCTGGGTTTGGTCCCCAGTGCCCAAGCTTCTTAAATTGTGAATCAATGGCCAGGGCGATAGTACAGTGGATTGTCTTGCACATGCTTGACCCAGGTTCAATCCCCAACACGACATATGGTCCCCCAAGCTAGGAGTGATTCACTCCAGGAGTGATTCCTGAGCTCAGCCTGAGTAAGGAGCAAGACCTATGTACCTCTAGGTGTGCTCCAAAAACAAGCAAAATGAAAAACCTGTGGATCAATACCCCTATAACATCCTATTAAAATTTGTTTTAAAATGTCTCATTTTTACTTATTACCAACAAATGTTTGGTTTGCATGCCTATTTTATGTACTTGGATACTCGGATCCATAAAAATTTCTCAGGCAAAAAGGGGTCACAAGTGGAAAATGTTTTATAAGTCCGGCCTTGGGCTGCGGAGATAGTACAAGGTGGTGACCCCAGTTCTATCCCCCCACTACAAGGCCAGAGTAGCACTGCATTCCTCTGGGGCTGCGGAGATAGTACAAGGTGGTGACCCAGTTCTATCCCCCGACTACAAGGCCAGAGTAGTACTGCATTCCTGTGCCCCGTTATTGAGCCACCGAGCCTGCTTGACAGGGCATCTCCCAAATAAGCCCCTTGCCTCCTCAACAGCTTGGGAGACCCTCCAACAAAGCTTTGTTCAATATAATTAGTACTAAGTATCTATAGGACCTTCGACTATCTTGTCTTTAGCTTTTCAATTAAGGCTTAAAGAACTTCAAAACTGCTATTTCTTTGTTTCTTTTTTACTCCAATCACTGTGAGATACACCCTTACAAAGTTGTTAGTGGTTGGACTTTAGTAATACAATGTTCCAAAACCCTAAGCTGGTATATTTCTATTTTAAATAAAACCATAGTTTATTTGGAAAGAGATATTTTCTGCTTAATGTAGGGTTTTTAGACTTTGTACTCCTTCATGGTGGCAAAAAATGTTAAATATTATTCCTTTCCATGAAGAGTTTTTTCTATTACCAATTCTGAAGTAGCCAATACAATTTTGTGAGTTGAATAATAATTGTCTTTGATTGCTCTGAAACTTATTTTTTCATCTTTATTTTCACTAAGTAGTTAACATGCATTTCAGTCCATTTGACTTCAACTTAAGAAATGTTTCAATATCAAGATACATAAAATCAGTAGTTTTTTCCTCATTATTTTCCACTTTACTATCTTTGGATTAGGATGCTTAGAGAAATGAGAATGAGAGGCCCGAGTAATAGTACAGCGGGTAGGGCATTTACCTTGTTTGTGGCCAACCAGGGTTTAATTCCTCGAATCCCATCTGGACCCCTGAGCACTGCCAAGAGTAATTCCTGAGTGCAAGTGCAGAGCCAGGAATAACCCCTGAGAGCATCGCCTGGTATGACCCCAAAAAGGCAAAAAAAAAGAAAGAAAGAAAGAAATGAAAATAAAGTAACAATTCAAACTCAAATGAGTCAGGGAGTCTGATAAAGGATTTTCTTCAAGATCTTTTTCATATGTTAATTTATCTCATTTCTGCAGTCCTGCTTGCTCAAACTTTCTTTCAGACTATTTTTTTTTGGTCAGACTTTCTATTTCTCAGATATTCTACTTGTTTTATGGTGGCAGGGGTTGAACTCGAGTTGGCTACATGCGAGTGAGGTGCCTTAACCACCCACTGTCCTATCTCTCTGGCACCCAAGACAAGGAATTTTCAGGCTTGCTCTTCAGGTCCGGTTCTCCCTTGAACGTGTATCTTGCTTGCTTATCTCTATGTTCTTTGATTATTTCTACTCTGGAGAAGCTTGTGTTCTCTCTCGAACACGGCTCTCTTTCTCTCCCATCCCATCTTTCTAAATAAGCTTCAATAAAAACGTTCTTGTTTCACCAAAAAAAAGGAACAATTTTTAATGATGTTTATTCTAACTACTTCCAAAAGAAAATCGATCTATAGATCAGCTGCAGGCTACTATAATTTCCAAGTTTCTGTGTCTCCATGTAAAAAATTAAAATTTGCAAGTAGTCTATAAATAGACTGACCAAATTGGATACATTTCTTGAAAATAATTTTATAAAATCAGTAATCTTCACTAATTGTCTAGTATAAGTAAGTTACTATTTAGTGTGGGCCACTGCTATTTGGGCTACTTTATTTCTCCTGTTGTTAGCTTTGATTCATTTGCCTGGTGAAGTCAGTGTCCCAGCTTGTTCTACGAAAATATGTGATTATATCAAGCTATATATGATCCATGAGAAGGCTTCTTTAAGGTCTGCAGAAGTTTTAATTCCAGGAAAGTATATTTCTCTTACATTAAGGCACCCATATGAAAACAGTTTACAAATATAGTTTGAAGGTGTATTCACCATGCCTGGATCTATAAAATTGTTTTACAGTAGCATCATCTTTTTTTGTTTCAGGTGAAATGGAGACTGAAAGCCAGCCCAAGAGAGTTTTCCAAGGCTCGAACACATTGCTGACCACAGATACTAAACAGTTGTCTGATCTCAGTTCATGGTAAAGAAAAATTGAATATAATCAAAAGGGTGTTATATAGAGCATATCTGTTCTAAGAGAGGCGTATCAAATGTATAATGGGAGCATTTAAAATGAATTCAGTTTTTTTGTCCGTATACCATAGAATGGAAATCTCCATGGAAGTGATGTGACCAAAAAAAAACCTGAGAATATTTGGACGTGATGAGTTTCTGGGGGAAGTGTGCATCTTTTTGACAGTTCCACTTCCACTCCTAGCCGCTGTTCAGTCACCTTGCTCAGTCAATGCTCATGGTGTGGGAGAGTATCAGCAGCTGGATGGCATGAGAAAGAGTTTCTGGGTTGCTGTGGGTAATGTGCATTGATTGGCATTGCTTGGTCTGCATTTTGTATCACATCCTTTTGACTTGGAGATGAATGCAAGGCATCCTGTTATGCATGGTGTTTTCAAAATAGCATTATCTGTTGCTTTGAAATCGTCTTGGTGGGGCCATTTTGTCACAGTGCTGACTCGAGTTTCTTTTTTGTTGGGACATATCATAATTTTTTAAAATTTAGTCTTATTTTTATGAAATTGTTCACTATAATTTATATCCTAATTCTTATTTTAAAAAAGGTTATTTTTATTTGATTTTGCTCGTAAGATTCTTTTGGCCCTACTCTACTTTTGTGTCTCACTGGAGACCCATCAGTATTCTTGTCCTAAAATTAACTTCCTTTTTCTCTGCCTGAAGTTGAACATTTTGACACCACCACAAGTATCGGGAGGAAGAGAAAGGGATAATAATAATGACCAGGCAGTATTTTGCAATATTGGTAAGGGACGGGTTGGCCATCCTCCGTGGTGCTCATGGGTTTACTCCTGGCTCTGTTGAGGGATAGCTCTTGGAGGTGCTTAAGGCATCATGTGTGCCCTGGGTGAATCTGGGTTGACCACATGCAAGGCAACACCTTACCCTCTCTCCTTTCTCTCTGACCCTAAAGTACATATTTCTAATCAGCTTCTGAGCATGTGTGTAATAGATAATTGTTTTGTGACTTTCTGAAGTTTTTCCTTCTGAATTTTAACAATGAGTGTCTTTTTAAAGGGCACATTAGAGCATTCATAATATAATTTAAAGGGTGGGGCTCTCTAAATAGAAGGATTGTGAAAATCACTTATAAGGTATGAGGCTAGACAATTCTTTCTTCCCAAATTACTTGTTCCATGTTTTGTGTAAGAGAACTTATACATCTAGTTGACCAAGAAGCCACAGGCTACTCCAGTTTATTAGATTCGATCAGTACTGCTATAACCTTGGAATGGGTGCCTTTTCGATTGTTCTAGCTAGTTTCAGCCTTCCACTCGCCATCTCACTCATCTCTATTTGTTCTCAGCCTAGTGTGTGCCTTTCCAGGTATGTAGAAGATTGCAAAGAGAAAACTTCTAAAGCTTGTCAAGAGGACGAGTGGGTGTAACACAATACTAGTGGAAACTGCATTATCACTTTTATGCTGAAGTATGTTTTAATATAGGCACGTGACAGTATAAATGGATTTGCTTACCCAGTCACTAGATAAGTAACCAGGTTAAGTAAAAAGACATGAATGTATCTGGCCAAGCTAAAAATTTAGGGAAGATAATTTGAATAACTCTACCATATTAGGCTGAGCATGTAGGAAGTCATAAGACAAGTTCATGCAAATATTTAGCTAGGAGCTCCCCTTATTTGTCTGAGCACGATAGCCTAAACTGTGATGGTAGCTCTGTCCCCTTCTGTTTAGACCTTGCGACTGACAAAGAGAACCCTGGGGTCTCAAAACCAGTGATTAAGGTGCATTTGTTCCATAAACACACGGTGCTGCCTCATGCTGGGGACATCTGCTTTATTTACAGACATTCATCGTGCTCATGAGCCAGCCTTTAGTTCCAGTGAAATCTGTTTTTAAAGTTTGTAGCATCTAGATTTCTGAGGATACAAAGACTTAAAATGTTGGGGACACCTTGAATACCAACAATTGCTGACATTACTATCTATAGTCAAATATCAGTTATTCCTGATATGTAAAAATTGAATCCTGGTTTTGCAGAAAATTCCCCCTGTCTCTTATATGCAGTTTCATTGATCAGACGTCCATATCCTTAGAAATAGGGACAAAGACAAGAACTAGCAGTATTCTACTTTCCAATGCCAAGGATAATTAAAGAAGGTTTTTAATACATTTTTTTGTTGTTGAGCACACCTGGCGATGCTCAGGGCTTACTCCTGGCTCTGTACTCAAGGAATCACTCCTGTCAGGGCTTGGGGGATCATATGAGGTGCCAGGGATTGAACTCAGATCAATTGAGTGCAAGGCAAGCAACCTACCTTCTGAACTATCTCTCTAGCCCATTTTAATACTTTGAAGGAGCAGAAAAAAGTATCATATTATTAGTAGATGTTGTCTTGAAATTGTTATAATTACCTGCCTCTTCCCAGAAAGAATTAAAATTAACTTCTTGTTTTGTTCTGTTTATTTTGTTTTATTTTGTTTTAGGGGCACAGCTGGCAGTGACCAGAGCTTATTCCTGGTCCTGTGCTCATTGATCACTCCTGGGAAGGTTCAGGGGTTCTAACCAGCTATGTGCAAGGCGTGTGTTTCACCCATAGTACTTCTTTTCTGATCCTAAAATTAGGATTTTTCAAATGAAAAATTCAGACTTCTATATAAGATAAAAATCTTTAAAATCTGACATTTTTAAAATTGAGATTCAGTATGAAGTTTGAGTATGGATCCACTTGGAATTATGTCCAGTGTTCCAGCTGCTTCCCCCCAAAAATCTGTGGACATACTCCTTGGACCTTTTTTTTTTGACCTTTGGGTCACACCCGAAGTGGTGAGGACTACTCCTTTCTCTGTGCTCAAGGGTCACTCCCAGAAGGGCTCTAGGGACCTGCTATATTAGGATTGAATGTGATACTGGTACATGTGCATGTAGTTTCATCATTTATTTTAATGATAATCGCCTTAGCCCCTATACTATTTCTCTGGCCCTTTTAAGATTTTTTTTAGTGACACAAAATAGCTTCTATTGAAAGAAATTTCAAGGGATGAGGGGAGAGAGAGAGACATGTTCAAGAGAGAACACAGGCTTCTGCAGGGGAAGGGAAAAGCCTGTTTAGGTCTTTTTTTATTTGTGGGAGGACACAGCTGGTGGTGTTCAGGGCTTACTTCTGCCTCTGCACTCAGGATCACTCCCCTGTGGCTTGTGGGGGATCATATGGGGTGCTGCAGATCAAACCCGGGATGACCACATGCAAGGCAAGCACTGCTGTACTATCACTCTGGCTCCAAGATCATTTAATTTTTAATTATTCTTTTAAAAAAATTAGCCACAGGGCCAGAGCGATAGTACAGTGGGTAGGGCGTTTGCCCAGCACACGGCCAACCCGGGTTCGATCCCTGGCATCCCATATGGTCCCCAAACACTGCCAGGAGTAATTCCTGAGTGCAGAGCCAGGAGTAACTCCTGAGCATTGCTGAGTGTGACCCAAAAAGAAGAAAAAAAATAGCCACAATGAAATTGCCAAGTTATTCAGGATTGGGTTTTAGGCATTCAATGTTCTAACACCAATCCTTTCACCAATGTCCCCCCACAACCCTATTTGCCAACCAGTCTGTTTCTATGAGAGGTGCCTTTTTTATATAAGTTTTTGCACTGTGGTTTACAGCATACTGTTGCTGATAGGGTTTCATCCATAAGGTGGTCAAGTGTTAGGTCATATTTTTAAGGAAGAGCTCAGGTTCAATCCCTTGCACTACATGGTCCCTGAGCACCCCAGGAATGACCTCTGAGCACTGCTTGGGGTTATCTCTGCCACCCCCTCCCAAACCCCATAAGTCTAAATGTGAGTAATTTCTGACTTGCAGTCTCTATTTCTATGACCTTCTGTAGTAGTGCCAGATAAACTGGTACAAAAGTTATATTTTATTGTAGTAAAAATATCTAGTTGAAGGTTTAACAAGTTCTAACTTAAACACTAGAGAGATAGCTCAATGAATAGGGCCCACACTTTGCACCTGGAAGCTTCAGTTCAAGGCACCACAACCCCCAAGCACTGAGCCAGGAGTAACCCCCCCACACATACACTCTTAGGTGTTGCACCAAAAAAATTGCACTGAGACTAAATGTAAGTGTGCTATTTTTCCGTTAAAAGTGCATTCTTGAGGGGATGAAGAGATAGTACTGTAGGTAGGGCACTTGCCTTACACATGGCTGACCTGAATTTATTTCGTAGTACCCAATATGGTTCTCTGAGCACAACCCGGTGTGGCCCCCCCCCAAAAAAAAACAACAAAAAATGTAGTCTTGGGCTGGAGAGATAGTAAGAAGTTAGGGCCTTGCCTTGTACCTGACAGCCCAGTTTGATCCCCAACACCATATATGGTTCTCAGGCACCTCCAGCAGTGATCCCTGAGCACTACTGGGTGTGGTCCAAACATCCCCCACCCCCACAAACAGAGAGAGACAGGAGGCGGGGAGTGTCTGCCATAGGGGTAATGGGAGGGAAACTGGGGAAGAAAAAAAAAACCAAAAGAACATAGAGTTCACTGCATGAAGCATGTTCTGTGTTTTTAAATCAATACAGGATTCACTTAACAAAGCAGGCCTTATAAATGGATCTTTTTAACTCAGGGCTCACCATAAGTGTAGTGGTTGGAATAAGAAAGTCTTTATTTATATTCAGATTATCTGCTTGATGGCCAAATTTTAATCTAAGTCTGTTTCTTCCTGCCAAGTAGCATAGACCATATCCTTCGGTTGCTTGGCCAATATGTGCTTCAGGAAAGTAAATTCATTTTACTATTAGTCTAGGCAAAATTTCGCAGGAGGAAAAATTACAGAAGTTCCAAAGACAAATATAAAGGTCTTTTGATTTTCCAATGTCTTAGATTATCTGTGCGACTTTCAGTAGTTTGAATAATTCATATTTTAGACCCATTTTGCCATTTGGTTGAAAAAATATCAGAGCCAGCTCAATTTTCCAGAGTTCTTACTGAGAAGTTATATTATTAATGATGCTTTTGACAGCACTGAGCGTAGAATAGGAATACTGTGGAATATAATATTTCCATTTTTTATTTTTCACTTTTCTGAAGCCTAGTTGTATTCTGTCTCCTAGAAACAATCCACAGGCAATAGGGAAAAAATGACATTTGAGGAAAAACAGAAAAGTAAGAAAAGCAGGGAGGGGGATTGTATTTCATTAAGGGTGAAACTTAATAGGACCAAGAAACTTCCAAATATATCATAGGTCACTTAACAATGGAAATATATAAGTTCACAAAAATGATTATATTAAATACTTAATAGTTAGCTACAGAGCAGATGAGACTAAGATGGGTTTTGCAAAGGAGTTAGTGACCAACTTAAATTAGAATCCGTATTTCCTGATTGAAAATTTCTTCTGTAATACCACACTTAGCTTCCTCTTCAATAAAGCACATGTGCTTTCAAATTTTAAAATTGCCAACCTCTCCAGCTTTGTCTTGCCTTGTCTTTTCCTTAAGTACCCAGCTTTTGGCTTCTAGAACTCCCCTGCTTCTTCCCAAATCGTACCTACTTAACACCTACTCCTCTTTCAGATGGCAGCTGAAATAGCACTTTGGGAGAGCCGTGTTTGTTCAAATTAGTCTAGGTCACCCATGTTTTATATTCCCAGATCACCTTGTTTCTTTCCTGTATTGCTTTGCTCACAAATTATAATTCCGTATTGGTCATCCTGTGTCCTTTACTGTCTGTCACCTGTTCTCTTAAGTTTGATGAGGGCAAGTGCCATGTCTGTTTTTCACACCATTGCGTTTTTAATATCTCACATACTTCCTGCATTTAGCAATCACTCTGTAAACATTAGGATCAAAGAGTAAGTGAGTTGGGCCAAACAGAGCCACTCTTGAGCACCACAGGGGATGACCTAAAGCCCTACAAGAAAAAAGAAATAAGGGGGCTCCCTTATTTCTTATGCAAACCACAAGTCCAAAGGGATTCTTATTGGTTGTTGGATGATTGAGTCCTCCAGGAGAGCACTCGAGATCATAACAGAGTCTTGGTGTCTTTGCATTTTCATGGCTTTGTTCTTTCACAGGTATCTGAATATCACACGTTCATCATTGTTGCCTTGATGCTTTTTATTATTTACAATGCTGTATGATTTGGTGAGGTCTTGTTACTGCGTGTTGTGGCATGTTATGTTACCTTGACCTAAGTAGATGCATCTGCTCATAATTCTTTTTGCTTTGTCCTCAGTTCAGATATTTTGGATGGCAGTAGTAGCAGCAATGGCTTGTCCTCAGACTCACTGGCTAAAGGCAGCCCAACCGCAGACTCTTCAGTAGCATGCTCCAATTCATGCTCTCCGTTCATCTTGATGGATGATCTCTCACCCAAGTGACTGATCCATTTCTGATTGAGTTCTAACTGCTGTTTCCTGCATAAAATATTGAGTGAGGGATGCAGAGAACTTTGATCCATAATGAGGATTAAAGTGCTGCAGTTGTAAACCATTTTGATGCCATTCTCTCTTGGTGTCTCTCCTTTAAAAGTTCAATTTTGTAAATGTAGTGATCTCAGTTATGTGTCTTTTGCTGATCTTCTGTTGGATCTAGCAACTAAATCTCAAATAAAAGAGTCTTATTTTTCTCAGTGCATCAAAGAGCACCTATTCGAGAGTCTGTACGTTTAAGGAAAGCACGGTAATTGTCCTGGATTCCAGCAGTGATACAATGCGTAGAGTTGATCAGAAATTCTCTTGCTTGAGAGATTTTTTTCTGTGTTCTTTGTTTGACCACATAGTTTCCTTTTGTTATTTCACAATAATAAATGAAATGCTTTTGTTCACATTATATTTTTATTTTTCTGCATCAGCTTAAAGTGCATTATTTTGTCACCCTTTCCTGTTTGAGCTGCTTACTTGCCATTTCTCAGAGGGGAAGAAATATGTCGTTGCTTTCATTACTACCCACATCGCTTTGCCATTGGAGTGTATGACGTGAAGATTGATTTTAGTACCGAGGATGTAAATAGACTTACAGGATACCTGGGATTAGTCACTATGGGTTCTTATGACTTTACTGCCACAACTGATGTTTTTCTCTCCAAAATTATCCTGAGGAAGCATAAAATACGGGGTAGGGGGAGTGTTTTATTTTGCTTTGTTGTTTAATTTTGTTTTTGCTTTTGTTGGGGGGGGCTACACCTGGCAGTGCTCAGGGGCTGTTCTTGGCTCTGTGCTCAGGAGTGACCCCTTGTGGTGCTTATGAACCCACATTTGGTAGCTGCCACACAAGTGCCTTCCCCCCATACTCTCTCTCCAGCCCCTAAAATATTGTTAATGTTTCTTAGGTGGTGTTATCAAGGAGAAGAAATCCCTGCCTTGACCAGATGTGTGGAGCACCTCCAAATGAATGAATAAATGTTCCTTACACACACAAACTGCTGTGTATAAAAGTATTCATGGAGCTTAACAGCTTGTCTCGGGTGGTATTATAAGGCTTGAGGTGCCTTGGGGTACAGTGTTGTGCTGTAAAGGTAGGATAGAAAAGTGGGCTTTCTGTGTCTGATTGTCACACGCTGTTTCAATTGCTGCATTTTCTCGCAACTTCTTTTGTCACTTAATTTGTTTTGTCATGTGGTGTGTGGTGCTGCTGAGTGTGTCCTTGGTTGTTGTGTTACCACCAGAAGCTAAATTCGGCTCTTGCTCACGCTGCCTTATGGGGAGGGCAGTTAAATATCTACAAGGAAGCTTTTAGGAGTTGAAAAACTCCATGTTGTTGTGCACCCTGCTTTTGAGAAGCTGTTTGATCTGTGAACAGTGTGTACCTGGTAGTAAGTCTGAGGTGTCCTAAGTTAATTCACTTTCCAAAGAGAAAAATCCTGGTGGGGACTGTGTAATCTGGTGTTATTTATTCTTTAAAACTGTGTAAAAATGTCTGTTGTGATTTCTGTTCAGACCTCGTGGTTGGATTGTATGTATTTAATATGCAAATTCATGTGCTCCGATCACAATGATTTTAAGATTTATTAGAAGTAAAAAGTACTGCATTTGTGTCTTTTGAAGGCAAAGATCCTTGAATTTTAAAGGAAGGAGATGAATTTTGAGGGTACTCAACAGACTAATGATATGAAATAGCTTGAAGGGAAACCTATTCTCTTTATACTGTAAGAGAGTATCAGTTAGCTTGCAGTAAATAGTTCTGAAATAGTTCGGGTGTGTTGTTTATTTTAAATGGTGATGACTGCCGTAATGGCCATTAATGGCTTTATTTCTTGTATTGCTTTCACCTGTGCAAAACCCAGTCACCCCTTCAAGACTAACAAATGTATATATTACGAAGATTTTCCCCTAAAATGCTGTTTTAAGGAAAAATTGCTCCCATGGTATTCAGTGTACTTGGTCTGTTTGAGAAAGAGCCACGATAAGGTGTTTCTGCCTAAAGAATACTAAGAGACCATTTTATGGTACAGGATATTTCGCCACCTTCACACTACTATTATCTTTGCCTTAAAAAGATGCTTTCCACCATCCTTCTGTGGACTCTAATTTAGGACTCTTAAGAAATAACCTTTGGGATGTGATAAATTTAGTTTATTTCAATATATTTTTGCAATTCAATGGCGAGGTAGAATTGGATCAGAAAACGAAATTGTTCAACAGATATAAGAACTAGGAGGCAAGATGATACACATTATTTCAACCTAGATTTGTTTTTATTGTTAGAACTGACTAGAAAATTAAGTTTGTGCAGGAATTATTTTGAAATTGATAAAAAGAGACAGATACTAACCTTCAGGTAAGCTTTGTTGATGGTAACACTTTATTTTTATATAAAGTCTAATATTTGAAAGGTAATCATTGTTATAAATCCAAATTCTCTTTTCCTATTCTAATATTATATTTCAAACTTCTATTTGAAAAGTACAAGAAGGTGATACAATAAGAAAATCCTATAGATGCTCTTTCTGCTTGACCGACTTATGTAATCACTTTCATAACTGCTTTTGGAATAATATGAAGTTTTGTGAAATGCTGACCTTGTGTATCTCTTAGAATTTAAATTTAATAAAGTGTGTATACATGCATAAAATGCTGTAAAGATTGTAAAAGTCTCTATTTTATGCCTTCAGATCGCAATGGTGTGTTCAATAATTGCAGTCTAGTTTTGTTTTTTTAATTTGGGGGGGGGGGTGCCACACTTGGCAGTGGTCAGGAGCTATTCCTGCCTCCTATGACCTTGGAGATGCCAGGGATTGAACCAGGATTGGCTACATGCAAGCAAGGCAAGTACCTTAATCTCTCTGGCCAGCCTGCATCCAACTTTTGAACAAAAGCATATGAGAAATACCTCAGAACCTATAGCTCTATGAAGTCGGGGCTGTTTTCCCAAAACAAAGTTCTCTATATTGCTTGTCAAATTGGCAAGACCATTTATAGAGTTTGGTCACTAAAAAGGTTCTGCCAACCCCCACACATATTTCTTCTTTGTTTTCAATTTATTTTATCTCATTTTTAACATATTCCTAGGACTCTAAATTGTTTTCAGAATGAGGTGGGTGGAGTGGACAGGCCAAAAATAAATAAAAGCCTCTTATGACTCAGATTATAAACATTCAACTTCTTTTCATATTTTAAAAATATATGGACTATTGTATTTCACACCAACATAGAGGTTGCAAGAGAGCCAAAGAAAGAACTCCCATATATCTTTCCCCCGGGTACCCATATTGTTGACATTTAACCACGTTTGCTTTACAATTCTCATGGACATATGTTTGTAAGATTATATGTGTGGGTATGTACACACAAAGTTTTTCTGAACCATCTACATTAGAGACATGATACCCCATTAATTCTTAAATGGTTCAATATAAATTTCTTAAAATACTAGAACATTCTACATAACTATCAACAGTTTTGATACAAAACTGTTATTTAGACTACATTCATTTGTGGTGTATATATAGACTAATATCCAAAGCCAGGGAAAACAGGGCCTAGAAGGACAGGTCAGTGGTTGGAATCAACAAGTGTGTGTGGGCTAGAGGGTAGTTGAGATAGAGAAGGGACCATTACAACAATAACAGCAGGAAATGATCACACTGTGCAAGAACTGAGTGTTAAAGGTAGGTAAAGGGATATTCCTGACAACCATTCAGCATCTGTATTGCAAACCACAATGATGCCCAAAAGGGTAGAGGAAGAGAGAGAAGTGCCTGCCATAGAGGCAGGCGGGGGTAGGGGGTGATGGGAGGGAAACTGGGGACACTGGTGCTGGGAAATATACGCTGGTGGAGAAACGGTGTTGGAACACCGTATGACTGAAGCCTAATGAGCTTTGTAAGGGTCTCTCTGATCAATAAAAAACTTAAAAACAAGAAAATCAAATTAAATTTTAAAAACCACTATTTAGTCTTATCTATAGATCCCATTCAGATTTTGCCTATAGTCTCCATAACGCTCTTTTTGCAAAAGGAAAAAAAAAGTATCTTCTTCTGGTGCAGAATTCTAAGTTATACCCAGACCACTGATTTGGGTCTCTCATAGTCCACAAATGCCTTGTCATTTGTGATCTTCATATTGTTAAAAAGTGGTTAGTTACTTTGCAAAATGTTCCTCAATTTCTGTCACACTGTCGCACTGTCCTCCCGTTGTTCATCGATTTGCTCGAGCGGGCCCAGTAACATCTCCATTGTGAGACTTCTTGTTACTGTGTTTGGCATATTGAATACTCTCGTAGCTTGCCAGGCTCTCCAAGAGGGGCGGAGGAATCGAACCTGGCTCGGCCAGGCTGGCTGTGCGGAAGGCCCTACCACTGTGCTATCGCTCCAGCCTCAATTTAGTTTTCTCAATTTAGTTTTTTAAAAATTATTTTGGGTAGGGGCTGGAGCGATAGCACAGCGGGTAGGATGTTTGGTTCCAGACTTGCACGCGGCCGACCCGCATTCGATTCCCAGCAACCCATATGGTCTCCTGAGAAGCGCCAGGAGTGATTCCTGAGTGCAGAGAGAGTCAGGAGTAACCCCTGAGCATCGCCTGGTGTGACCCAAAAAGCAAAAAAATATTCTGGGGCCACACATGGCAGTGCTGAGAACTTACTCTTGGCTCTGCACTCAGGGGTCAATCTGGGAAGCTCAGGAAACCATGTGGGCTGACAGGTCTTGAACCTGGGTTGACTGCATATAAAGCAAGCACCCCAACTGGATTATCATTTTGTTCCCTCAATTTAGCCTTGCTGACTGTTTCCTTGTTACTGAATTCAGGTTATGGACAGAAATCACCCCTGGAAGAGATAAGAAATTAATGTATCATTGTTTGAGGAACATGGTGTCACTGTTCTAGTTTTTATTTTTTATTTTTTTGCTTTTTGGGTCACACCCAGTGTTGCACAGAGGTTACTCCTGGCTCATGCACTCAGGAATTACTTCTGGTGATGCTCGGGGGACCATATTGGATGCTGAGAATTGAACCCGAGTCAGCCTCGTGCAAGGCAAACGCCCTACCCACTGTGCTATCACTCCAGTCCCACTGTCCTATTTTTTAAACTCCGTTTTGGGGCCATCTCAAGCAGTGCCCAGGGCTCACTCCTGTCCCTGCACTTAGGGATCACTTCTGGCATGGCAGGGCCCGGGGACGATATGTGGTGCTGAGGATAGAGCCTGGGTGACTGCCCACAAGGCAAGCACTCTACTAGTTGTGCTGTCGCTCCAACCCACTATCATTGTTGATGGTAACCTTGATTTTTTGGTTAAGGTAGTAGATATTGTTATTCTGCTGAACAGATGTTTTCCCTTTGAAATATATGTCTCTCTCTCTCTCTCTCTCTATATATATATACATATGTATATATACATATATATATGCATTGTATCTGTGTGTGTTCATTTATTACTAATCATGGTTCCAGACTGGCATCTCTGATTCTAGTTCAATGCTGCAGGGTTGATTCCAGCATCCACCCTTCTCATATTTGTAACTCCTTTCTCTGATAGCGAGAAACCTGATTCTTTTGCTCTTCAGCATAGTTGCTTTTTTTCCCAGTATGTGACCCAGTTTCTGACTCCCTCGCTGCCTCCCTAACCCCAGTCATCTCCTTGGCTCTGATTTTCCTTCAGCCCCATGAGCAAGACTGCTACAGAAGTAAAAGTAAAGAGTTTCCAAATACTCAAGTTTTAAATCTCCCCAGTTCACAGCCACTCCAAATCTCCCCAGTTCACAGCCACTCCAATACTCCCCCAAGCTCCTCTTACCTCCACGTTCATAAGAATTTCTTACATTTTTGATGTTCTTAGCCCGTATCTGAGAAGTGCTTATCTGGGAAGTCCTTATCTAGGAAGACTTAAGTTCATGCCTGCAAAACTTAAATGACCCCAAAACAAACAACAACCCCCCTCCCACTATTGTAGCCACATTACCTAAACTACATTTTTTGGTGGTGGACCACATCTGGCAGTGCTCAGGGCTTACTCCTGGCTCTGAGTTCAGAGATCATTTCTGGCCAGTGCTCTGGTTCCAAATGTACCAGATTGAACCAGTCAGCTGTGGGCAAGGCCTTAGGCGCGGGTAGGGTGCCTACCTTGCACATGGTTGGCTGGGTTCAATCCCCAATACTATATTTGGTTTCCTGAGCCCTGCCAGGTATGATTGAGAGAGCAGATCCAGGTGTCATCCCTGAGAACCCAAAACCAAACAAAACTGGAGGAGGGTGGAAGGTCTCTTGTATTTTGGTGGTAGAGAATGAAGGTAGCACTATTATCATTATTTTACCTAAGCTATAATAAGATGAAGGGAGGGATCAGTTAGGTAAAGGAACACTAGAACAATAGTGAAGGGGGAAAGTGCCTACTCCAGATGCATGCTGGAGGGCAGGAGGGATACTGGGGACATTGGTGGAGGGAAATGGACACTGATGAGGAGATGGGTGTTGGAAACTTTTCAAAAAATTTAAATGCTTCCAGGGAAGAGGCATCAACAAAGCCGATCTTTAAGAGCAACTTGGGGTAAATGTGGGAGTCAGAAGGACATGGGAAATGGACAAGAAAACAAGGGGGACTGGAGCAATAGCACAGCGGGTAGGGTGTTTGCCTTGCATGAGGCCAACCCGGGTTCGATTCCCAGCATCCCATATGGCCCCCCAAGCACCACCAGGAGTGATTACTGAGTGAAGAACCAGGAGTGACCCCTGAGCATCGCCGGGTGTGACCCAAAAAGTAAAAAAAAAAAAGGTCTCATTGTAGAAATGCAAGTTAGTGCTAATAGGAGAAAAGAAGCCGGAGAGAGAAACAGGTCACAGTAGGGCATTTAAGATGTGAGAGTTCTTTAGCTTCTGTGGGTAGATGCTGTGTATAGACCAAAGGAGGGAGATTTTGTGAAGAAGTGGGTTAAGAACAAGAATATGACAGGCATCAAATTAGATGAGGTGAAAGAGAAGGTGCCAAGAGAGGTGAAAAGAAAAGTGGGAGACACCAGCTAATGGTGTCATTGAAGCTAAGGAGATCATCTCCAGTGTCAAGCAAGATGAGGATTGAAAATGTCTCATGGGATCTCATCCTTAAGAGGTCCCATAAAGACTTCGCTGGTGTATTTTTGGCTTGGTGAAAAGGGCAAAGGTCAGATTGCAGTGACTTGAAACTGGGAATTAGGAAATGGGGTCAAGCCACACAGTCAATGCCCAAATCAGCTCATCTTCTTTCCTCTTTTTTCCCCCAGACCTTGTTCAATTACAATACAAAATCCTTCCCATGTCCTCTTTTCTCTTTCATATCCTCAGTAGTTGGCTGAAAGAAAAATATAGTCCCCCAATAACACTGTTGAACTGTAGCTCCACACCTTAGCCCATAGAGGGATCGAGAAAAAAAAATCAGTTCACCTCTAGTGGGCACGTAAATGCAGTCACATGGGGAGTGTTAGCCTATGGAAGGATCTGGAAGAAAACTGGGACGCGTGATCAGATAGTGACCTGTAGGAGGAGCATCTAGCTTCTTGTCGAAGTTTCACACATTCCTGAGGGAAGCCTTCAGGAGGAATCTTGTCAAGGAAACTCTTGTCAAGGAGTGCTACCTCTAGGTAATATTTAATCATATAT